GGGGCCCTTGGTCTCCAGGACGAGGTCACTAATCTCAACGGAGCCAGACTCACCGGCCTCACCGACCTGGAGCATAGGGATAGGGTTCTTCTGGTCGGAGAACTTGTCGCCATACGCCATGAGCATGGGCCACACCTCACCAGTGATCTTGATGTTCTTGGGAACCTTGATGGTATCGGTGATGATGTAGGCACCGTGGTCGAAGTACACGATCTGGTCCTCGGTGGCGTTGTTCAGGACGCTCTGGATGATGGCCGTGTCATCGGTGGTACCGTCACCCTTGGCACCGGCCGACTTGACGCTGACGAAGGACGAAGCGGCATACGACCCGTACAAAGGCTTGGACTTCTCGAAGACACTGCCAGAGCTGGTAAGAAGAGAGCTGGCCATAGCCTGGGAGGGAATGGTGGTCTCGATACGGGTCTTGGTGACGGTCTTGGTTGAGCACTGGCCGGTGGAGTTGCTGGAAGTACCGAAGTAGGAGCCGGAAGACGAGGTGCTGGTAGCAGCTGAGGCAGAGCCGGAGCCCTGGGCGACGATAGAAGCACCGGCCGACTGGGAAGTAGGCTCAGCAGGAGTCGAGCCAGCAGAAGTTCCGGCAGCAGGGACAGAAGCCTCGTTGGTGGCCGTGGTGGCCTGAGAGGTTTCGCTGTCAAAACCTTCCCAGCTGTAGCTACCAGCAGCGGGGTACTGGACAGACATCGAGGACAGAGGCACCACACCACCAGCGGCGGTCGTAGTCGAACCCTCCGCTCCGACGTCAGAGGCAGTTCCGAACGAACCCGCAGCAGTTTCAGTGGCGTAGTCGGCACCGCAGGCTGTGATGGTTTCGGTGATAGTCTGGGTAATCACCTGAACATCCTCGGCCTGAACGGCAGGGGAGCGCTTGGTGACGGTGCTGTTGTTGTTGCTGTTGCTGGTGCTGCCCGGGGTGTAGACATTGCCCTGCACGTAGTTCGAGACAACGGACCCACCCTTGAGGATGGTGTCGCCGTTCACACTTGCAATGGCAACTGTTGAGCCGGAGAAGTCGACGTTTTCCAGGACCAGGGCACCGCCACCGGTGGGGATGCTGTCGCTGCTGAAGGCAGTCACGACACCAGTAGGAGTGCTGGTGAACGTGCTGTCCAGCATCAGGACGGACCCCACGGTCTGGTTGGACGGAGAAGCGGACATGTTCAGGCCGACCTGGCAGTTGTTGATAGAGACGGACTTGAAGGTCCAGGCCCAGTTCCAGTTCATGTAGATGGCGGTGTTGCAGTCGTTGAAGGTCAAGTTGCGAGTTGTGAACTGCTGGTTACCGAAGAAGGCACCGTAGTTACCGCCGTTGAAGGTCAGGTCGGACATGAAGCCACCGGATCCGTTGTCCATGAAGATACCCTGCTGCTTGTTGTTGGTGCCACCCTTGACCATCTCGAAGCGGATGTTCTGCAGACTGGTGGCTTGGCCGACCTGCCAGTGGATACCAGCACCCGAGGAAGCGGGCATAGCGGTCAGATCAATGACGAAGTTGCGAACGGCACGGAAGAAGTTGTTCTGGTTGGTGTACCAGTTGTCGCCATTGCTGTCGTAGGGGTCGGCATCAATGACGGCCATACCGCTGAAGCTCGAGGCAGCCTTGAGGACAGGCAGGTCGTTGGCATCGCCGACCATCTGGGTGTAGTAGTACTGCACAATGGGCTTGGACACCACGTAGGTACCTGCGGGGAAGTACACTAGGGCCGGGGTAGTGGTAGACGAGTCACAGCCGGAACCGCAGCGGCCACCAGAGGAGATGGCCTTGTTGATCGCATCAGTATCATCAGTAGATCCGTCACCTGCAGTAGTCAGCATCAAATACCAGCCATGTAAGGAGGTCTGACTCACCCTTGGCACCATAGTCCTTGACGTTGCGGAAGATTGCATAGCTGCTCGTAGTGTTGCCAAAGGGTACAGTGCCCTGACGCTTGATGGTTCCAACCCAGTAGTCGGACGCGCGCACCGCCAGATGCGATGTCACGTCGACAGACCCGGACGTAGGGACAGCATTGACCAAGGCCACTGGCACACTCAGTAGCAGACAGACGTACGACACAAACAACATGATGGAAGTGTGGAGAGACGCCATCGTCAAGACAGCGAGGTTCACTGAACCGGCAGAGAACTGAAGAGCGAGAAGGGACAGTAATATAGTAAGGAGGAACGCTGACGAGCGACCAACACTTCAGTAACCAGTACTGAAGAAATATCCAGACAAGATCGTGTGAGCACCAACAGAAGTGGTCTGTCACACGACGGGGTCAGACGGTGGACTGGATAGGATGTTGTAGTTGGAGGAGTAGTAAGTAGGGAAGAGTAAGGAATGTATGGGGGCGCAAATCAGCCGCCAGGGGAGAAAGAAGTAGTAGAAAAGGAATGAATGTAATAAAACACACAAAAACACAACACACACAGCAAGACAGTAACACTCGGAAACTGCCTTTTTTTTTTCCCACAACACAAAGACAGACACAACTGACGAGGGAACGAAAGGACGGGGGATAGAGAATAAAAAAGAAACGACAAAGCTAGGATATGAAGGGAACGGCCGATGTAAATGAAGGTTATTACACCCGGGATAAAGTGGAGGGGGGAGGGAACAGAAGATTTGCTGGCACCCGCGGGAGGGACCAATGGATCCAGGCACACAAACTTGCCCCGTTCCTGACTCGACGATTGGTTCTGGCTGGACTGCGATGCCTTGACCGTCGCTGGAAATTACTGCTTGACTATCGCCAGATGGTGGAGGTCCGTCTGCAAGAAAAGCTGCTGAAGGTCCAATCACGCGCCCCGATCGCTCCACTCACACCAATTAGCTGCGATAGTCGTCGTCTGGCGACCGCTGCTTGAAACGCCTGGGTCAGGGGATGAAACGAGTCGATAAGGCACTAGACGGGGGTTAGTCGGGATTCATTGGGTGGCAATCTTTCTAGCGGTCGCTTGCTATAGACATGATATTCCTGGTAGCGGGAGTATTGCACTCTGCCGAACTGACTGGAGTCATGCATGGTGGGCCATGCAGAGAGCTTGTGGTGAAGATGGTGGTGATGGTGGGGAGAAAGTGCGGGACGGAGTGTCTCCAATGGACTGATTACCTACCGAAGCTCGCGTGTATAGTTGTATACACACACACACACGCACTACTATACTAGTCCTACTCCCCAATACTGGTGGGCCAGATAGTCTAGGCTGCCGGATATTCAAGGAACGACCGAAGAGAGCGAATGGCAGAGAGTCGTGGGACTCTCTACTAAACCGTAACTAGTGACTGAACGAGGGATAGGCTACCTCCCAATGCTGCGTAGGCGACAAAGAAAACGAACGAAATCTGATCCGATCCGAAAAGCACAAGCTCAAGGAGTCGGAAAAGGAGAGGCGGAGGTGGCAGGAGAGGAGGAAACAAGCCAAAGGGAAAGATCAAAATCCCCAGTCGATCAGCGGACCCGGTAGACTAATATACCTGGCAGGGTTTTGATCAACATATTCGCCGTGGCCCAGATCGAAGACAACTGGGCATTTCAATCGCTCGGCCATGGCTGCAGAGCCGATCGTCCGGCATGGCTTGTTGCTGCTGGAATTCGCCCGTTTGACAGCGCGCCAGGGCAGCGAGCTGGTCGCTACGCACTAGACTCAGGCATTGGTATGGATGGCGAACCCTGTGGACGGAACACCTCCTCTGCCATGCTGCATTTGACCCGCCAACGGTATGTCTCGATGGGGACGAAATTTCGGGCTCTGCTCACCAGTTTTCCACTGTGATTGCAGTGCTGGGGGAGGCTGCCTGATCGAGCAGGTCTAGACATTCCTCGTGGTCCATTGTTCCCCCGACGCCAGTCTGGGCAGTAATGTCGGTGCTCCCGGGCAGCCGTGGCATCCTCATCTCGATAAGCTTCACTTGCTGCGTCAGATATATCTAGTCCATGGCGAGAAAGCTAATTGTTCCATTGGCAGAGCCATAAGTACGTATACTCTCGCCGTATTATACTTTTGTACATGCTGTTTTAACTGTAGAATTAGTCGTCAGCCAGTCCCTTGGATTCAAGGTTGTTGGTAGGTACCTTGACTCAGGCGGGAAGAAAAAAAGGTTGGTCCTGCATGGACGGGTGGGCCCGGGCGAGGGAAAGAGAGGCGAGAAAGTGAGAGAGCTGAGAGGGGGGATCATCCAGGGGGCAAAATCCAGAAATTAACTAACCACTTCCTTCCCACCAATAAAGAATGGGTTAAGGGCCGATTGGTGCTCTACAACTTGAATCTCCTTCTCATATAGAGGTTACATGATACTACAAAGTAGATAGAAAGCCAAGTCCACGGTCCGATATGTCTCAGTCTTCCCGTCTCTTTTCCCCTCGATCGAGATAAAAATATCCTACACGGTGGGTAAGGAATCAGTGCACCAAGCTTTCCGCAGAGGAGACTGTCTTCTTCCTTAATTAACCCAACCCGACTGATCGGCCGCTAACCTTGGGTCGTGGTCTGCCCGTGAAACACCTAGTCATCAACTAGTCTAGCCTCGGCAGCAGCAGTAATCACCTGCATGGTCCAGAAAGTTGTACAGCGTTGCGGACTCGACCAAAAGTCCTGATTATCTAGACGGTCGGCCCGGAAGCCGGATTGTTTGTTGAACTCCGCCATGTTTGGATGATTTAGCTAGACAACGATTCTGGGTTTGGAACGCGTGAAGAATGTGTGCGGTGCCCGTCTGATTCCGCAGCGGCATCCCTTGGCACCAGGAGTTATTTGACGCGTCCATTCCGGGCAAGGGAAAAAAAAAAAAAGACCAAGGTTCCTCAAGCATTGTGCTGCAGGAGTAGGCGCTGAACAATGTGTGTCGGGAAAGCGTGATGTTTGGCCTGCAGCCAATGATTCCCAAAGTGCCCTGACTGCGCTACTGCGGTCTATATATGCAAGTTGGCTGCAGGTGCCGTGCAGATGCTCGCCCCGAGTCATCTGCCTTCCCCGGCCTCGCGCCTTGACTGGCCGCCCACCGCCTCCGTCCGCATCACTCGACCCCAGGCCATTCTTTCTCATCTTGCGCCAAGGAGAGATAATCTGGGGCGTGACGAGCTATCAACCTTTCGGCACCGAATGACTATCCTGTAATGGGGTGTGTGGTTCGTCCATATCAACAACATACTACAGTTCTTCCAGACCAAGGTCCTAGGCGGTCCGATCCGCCCGTCCACCCTTGGTAGCCATCAGCGCAGCGGCCGCCAGCATTTGGTTTACTTGAGAGCTTCACGAATGACCGATGCAAGTCGACGCACCCCCTCTTCGAGCTTATCCTCCTGCTCCCATGCGAAACAGAGGCGCATACCGTCGTCAAAATCGTTCTTGTCTCCTGCCGCATCTCCATCTATCCGAAAGACATTACCAGATGCTATGATCAAATTCTGTTCGTGCAGTGCGATGGGTACAAGCTCGCTTGACCGTAATGGGTGTGGGAGCCGGAGCCAAATAAAATACCCCCCTGCCACATCGGGAACTGGAGGGAGCCCCACGCCGAGGGGAACAAGATGCTCACGTATGGAAGACATCATCCGGTGATAGCGGCGGGCGTACGCCGGTTGCAGAACATCGCCAATGAAGTCTTGTACAATCCCCGTGGGGAACAGCTGCGCAATGATGGCGGCGCACATATGCGACGGTGCGCCTCCGGATCGACTTGAGCCTCTGTCCAGGGAAAAGTTAGCCTACCAGGTAGGGGAGGGTAAAGCAAGGGACAAGCGAGAGCAGCCAGCAAGACCACCTCACGGGATCACGCACGCTTGTGACAGACCATACGCTACCTTCTCGGTAGCCTCCGCCCAACCTGTCCGCATTCCGGGTCCGATCAGCTTGCTGAAACTTCCATTGCTCACCACATTACCCCAGTCATCCCCGGGTCCCCCATCCAGATAGCGGTCCACATCCACCAGACGGGGTAGATGCGCCCTGTTGGGCTGCGGTAATGTCTTGGCTGGGTCGGGTGACCACTGAAGGAAGTCATAGACATCATCGGCGATGATCAAGGCATCAAATTCTCGCGCAAGACGAACCAGATTCTCCCGATCAGGCAAGGACATGGTGAGCGTCGACGGGTTGGAGAAGGTCGGGGTAGCATAGATGACATGCTTGTAGACTTTACCCCATGGCCTAGTAGGTTTGTAGTTCTGTAGGAGTCAGTCATATGAGCCACTTCAGTCCCCTTGAAACCTCAAAGGCAGGACGTAAACGTCCATCTGCAGACCAAAGCAAACCAACGTACCGGTGCGTTATTATTTTCCCTCCTTGCCCGCTCCTCGGCAATAAGCAGCTCCTGTCGGAGATAGGCCAAATCCAACCCCGCATCACTCTGGGGAACGGCCCTCAGGCGACTAGTGAACCCGGAATCATCGAAGATGCGAAAGGATAGATGATAGGCGGGTGCAACCATCCAAACATTGCGTGTGTAGACAGGATCAGTAAAGACCTGCAGGATACAGGCTACATTCTGACTGGCGCCACCCGTGATGCAAATGCGTTCGGGAGTGATGCGGTCGCGTGGCTGGTAGAACGTCGTTAGCCAGCGAGCGATGTGTTCGCGCAACGGCTGGTACCCTTCATCAGGGCCATACATCAAGGCCGGTGTCCAAATGGCCGGGGTGGCCAACACTTTCGCAGAGGCCTCAGCCAAGGCCGTCGTGGGCAGCAAGGCGGGGTTGGGCCAACCGCGGGAAAGATCGACCTGCTCAACGTTCATGATGTTGGTTGGTTGGTTGGTTGGTTGGTTGCGTGACAGGTCCAAGTTAGAAAAAAAAAAAGTAGTAGTGGATAGTATTTCTTTGAATACTACTTAGTGATTAGATCGGTGACTTGAATTGATTTGGGTAATGAGTAATGGTAGTCGTCAGAAGCTCCAATATGCGGGGCCTGGCATGTATAACAGCAAGTTATATATTATGTGTTGTGTCTCAGGTAGTAGTGATGTGGTTTGTCTTCCGTCGCTATATAAATTGATAACGTTAGAGTGACTCTGGATGATGAACGACTCTACTTTCCCAGAACAGTTCTTGGCGGTCACCAAAGAAGTTAGTGGACTTGATTGGGGTGCTATAGTATCTCTATCCAGTCACAAAATTAGTAAGTCAATGATGACTCGTTAGTCAAGAAAAAGGAAAGCGTAAGCAAGCGGATCAGGAGGGGCATTCATCCATGACTTTGGTGTGACTTTGGCTTCTGGAAGCTGTCTAAAGGGGGGAACAACGGAAGTTCCGTAGCCGACGGGGGACCAAGTCACGGGGTATTTGTTCAGGGCGCGGGGCAGATCCTGTCTTCGCACCGCCCGATGCCGGTGCGGCATCTTCAGGGCGCTCGGTCACTCCCCGTCAGGAGCAAAGAGGAAGATGAAAAGAACGGGCTAGTTTTGGAGATTAGATGGAGCAGTTTCAGAGGAGCATATTATCCATCAGTCTGTACGAAATAATATAACATTATTGATTATTGATTATCTATTATAATTATCGATTATGCAATAATTAACTACTGGGGAACGGTTGGTTGGAGTTGAGAACCTTTGACCACAGTAAGTAGTATATTGGTAGTTGCCCCAAAGGGGTTGGCTGCTCGGGAGTTATGCAAAAGATGCGTGAGGCGGGCGCTCCGGGAATACAGACGGGGTACTATACATAAAGGAGCTGCCTGAGGTCCCAAGGCCCAGATCAATAAGGATGACACGTCCATTCCCCAAAGTAAAACACCCATGGCTCACCCGGATCAATCGAAACGGATTACGGGGTCAAAGACCCGATCGGACAACGTCAACCTAGGCATCACTTTCAGGACGCAATTACTTACGTACGTCCGAGTGCGTGGCTTCTATTTCCATGTCGGGTAATGCAGGCACAGCGCTAGAGATGAAGCATCTCTCTTCTGAGTTTTCCCCGTACAGTAGCGCCGCTGGTTAGCGCCTCTACTAAAGCAGGCAAGCCAAGCAAGGGAAAGAATCGCATAGAAAAGAAAAGGAAGAAAAAGACAGAGTAGTGAGTAAGTACGGAGTAGATACTAGCAAACAGATTGAAAAAAAATAATGAAAAGTAAAAGTAGGTACCACGAAGGACCGATGGTGGTGGCTACTATTCTTAGCTTCTCCCTCCCTCTCTCTCTCCCGCCTCTTTTAGGTCTAGTAGCTTAGATCTTCCCAATAAGTTGCCTCTCTGGCAGGACGACTAGTAGATATTTTCTCTTGTTTATTACTTGCCAGTCCAATGAAAGAGGACAGGGCAAGCATGGCGTACTAATCTATCCATCGATTGGTACTGATTAACGATGGCGAGCTGTCGGTTTCTCTGCAGTGGAAATTGTCGGCAGGTTTTCTCGCTTGGCTGGATTCCAGTGCGACGTGCCAGCGGCAACTCAAGGTATGTTGTGTGAGTTTGTGGTAAGCATGGCGGAGTCCGATAGCCCCTGGATCGGAGATGCCAATCCACCTGTCATGGCTGCGGTGCCTCTCCTTTTGTCACAGACTTTCCGGTTGTAGACTAAGGTCGTAATCGCGCAGGTTTTCACTGGGCCAGAAAGGGGAGAGTGCGCTTTTTTCAAACTACTATTACTACTAACTTCGAAGAGGGACCGTGTAGACGGACCTAAGCAGACTATATATTAAATGGTGAGGTAGACAAGTCAGTCGGAAACATGACTGACCAAGGAAACGGATCGAGTCCCGTCCATGGTTGGCCGAACCGGAGAAGAGAGAGGGGTGGAAATCAATGGCTGACTCTGAAAGGAGAATCAGACTATGAATGAGGAGACCCAACTTATGAATGGGAAAGCGCTTGAATCGGAGGGAGTGGATATCTGCCGAGTTTCCGTCATCCGATCATCAGTCCGTATTGTAATCCCTGAGGCTGCAGGCACAACGCCTTGCGAGAGTATGAACGCGAATCGCAGAGAGGAGAGGCTGACGATGGATGTCACAGGGAAAAAAGTAAATTCTCAGGACAACAAGGGGAAATGTACTACAAAAGGTCCAGAAAAGTAACAGCATAAACAACATCATTGAATGAACCCCATGCAGTGAATGAATGTTTCTGCCTTGAGTGAGGTATACTTACAAAGTACATGCACCCGTGGGCACAGTAAGCAATGTTGCCCTGCTGCTTAAGCTACTACCAACCACGCAACAGAAGCCAGGAGAGAGCTGGGAATCCGAGGAATAAATAGAACGAACAACTGGCAGTCTTAGTAGAATTGTAGTAGTGAGTAGGAGTAGTTAGTTGCAGACAACTCGTCCCGAACCCCCACGACGATTGCATGGAAGGAGGAGGGCCCCGTTGCATCCTGACTGGCTCTGACCCGATGAGCATCAGCCTCCTGAACCAGAAACATTGCACTGCCTCTGGCCAGCCCACTCACACTCACACTCACACTCACACTCACTCACACACCTTGCGCCTACCGAACGAAGTGCGAGTTAAGCTAACAAACTCCCTAGTCTCCAGTCTCCAGTAGGAAACCCACGGATGGAGGGGTTAGGGATAAGTAGTTTTAGTTGGGAAACAAACGGGAGATGGCGAGGAGAGCCAAAGGAAATGAGATCATATAAAGTGGTTCGATGGCAACCTCCGTTGGGCTTAAGTTATTTACTCCGTACAGTAGAAGAAACTGCTAAGAGCAACATTCCCCACTGGTCGAAACCCACCGGAAGCCCAAAGAACGAACAGCAGACCAGCTAAACTGGCCCTAGAACATCAGGATCATTATATTATCCAACACGAACTGGTGAATAATAAGAGGAACCACTGCGCCTTTTAGCTCTTCCTAGTTCGGGTCCTGCTGGATTTACTTCGGCTCTATAAATCATCACCATCATCACTTTGGGAGGGGGTCTCCCTGGAACCCTTCTGGTTGATTTTCCCTTCTTCTTCTTCTTCTTCTTCTTCTTCTTCTTCCACTTTTCCCCATCCCCTAACCACTACACCACCACCGAACCATCAATCACATCATCCGTAGCAGAGGTTGTGATTTGAATCTAATGCACAATCAGAGTTCCTCAATCCCTCCTGCTGCCGTGGCTCCACTCGTGGGTTAAAAATACTCGTCCATTGGAGGGCTTAATAATAACCTGTTGCCTTCAATAAACCATACCAGCCTTTTCCCTCTCTGGGTAACATCAATACTTACTCAGTCCTCACTGACTTCTGTTTCTCTTTTCCCCCCTTCTGTTTTGCGTCTGTTCGCTAAGTTCCCGTCTCGTTGGGTTTTTATTCCTCGATTTTATTCTATTTTTCATTTTTTTATTTTTATTTTTTTTTCTCGTCCTTCGTTTGGGTTTCTTGGGAGAATAATTTTTTCTTTTTTACCCTCTCTCGATATTATTGCCTTCATCTCCGTTCTCCGTTCTCTTTCTTTTTCTTTTTTCTTTTGAAGAAAAAGATCCTCTCTCGCTGCTTCTGGCGATAGCCTCAATTCTTCCCCTTCAGCTGTCTCCTCCATTTTTTGCTGCTGTATCCGGCTTCCGCGGAGAGAACCACCAAACAAACCACCAGCCCAGAAAACCTTTCCTCATTCCTCCCTCCTCACTCTTCCCCCCTCTTTCTGGATCCCTCCTGCCGATCCATTCCTCAATCCACGTCGAGCGACTTACACCAGTCGCCCGCCGCGGATTCTTCGTTCAAACCCGTCTGCTGTCTAGAGGGTTTTTGCATGGTTGGCCGCATTCTTGCTTTCTGCACTTGTTAAGGTAAGTGCCGTCCCTGCCACTGCCAGCGCCTGGTGGTGCTTCCCCGTCATACTTCCCCTCTACCCGACGGTGTGTCTTCGTCTCGACTTCTTGTCTTTCCTCGTCACCCCCCCCAATTGTTTGTTCACGGCTTCGTGCACAACTCTCCATTGCGCCCGGGGAACTGACCCTTCTCTTTTGCCCCCCAACTAGCCAGCGGCCTTGAAGATGCTGTCTGCTCCGGTCAAGTCCGCCAAGCGCATCTCGTCCCTGTTTTCCCTGGGGTCCAACAGGGATAGCTCTATTCCATCATCGCCTGCATCTCCGAACCTTCCGAAACCCTCTTCCCCCGACCAGCTGCCGCAGGATGCACGCCCGCGAAGCGCCTCCCGACCCATTCGTGCAGTCTCCAACCCTCAAAGCGACTATGCAGACGCTCGGACGCCCGTATCCCCCATCCCCAACGATGGCTTCGACTTGGATGAACCGCTGCAGCCACCCCCGTCGCTACTAGCTGTGAACCAGGACCTGGCCAACAGCGCTCACAACTCTCCAGATGGCAGGCCCCAGAGCAGGGGTCGCGGAAGAAGTGGCAGTCGACCCTCCAGTGCCGCGGGTCTGTTTGTACCCGGTTCAGGTCCCGATTCGCGCCCCGGAACCCCTTCATCTTCATCGAAGAGACGGAGCTGGATGCCTGGACGGGCGCGCGCGAGCTCTGTAGATCCCCGACCGGCCACTACCACTGCGGGACCCAGTGCCTGGATTGCCGGGTTGGAACAAAAGATCCTCTACGATCTGGAGCCTTTGGCCCGGGGAGACCAGGTACGTACTGAAACCGCCTTGAGCTGTTGTGCGAAAACGCTACAGGGGGGACTTTTCCCGACTTTTTCGTAAGTTCCTGGCTAACTGTAACCTCTCTTGGCTAGATTCCCGAACTCTGGAACGAGAGTGGTGATACCTATGTCTACCTGTTCCCCCAGAACACCGGCAGACCTGCCTCCTTCAAAGTCCACCGCACGGTTTTTGTTGAATCACCATCACTACGTGATTTGGCTGTAAGCAACGATGTCAGAAATCTCAACGCCCTCGACCAACAGACTCGCACAATGTCGTTGAGCAGCCCCGTGGCTGGTCCGGGTTCGCCTCCGTTGACACCTCAGGATCCCTTAGCCGAAAATGACAACGACAGCTCCGGTAGCAGGAGAATGGCGTATATGGAGGATGACGGCCAGGATGAGTTTCAGGAGTTCCATCTCTATCTTCCAATTCCCTTGAACAGCGACGTGTCTAGCCCCAGTAGTCGGA